GGCTAATTTGTAATAGGCTTTTTTGATTTCACTTTCCGAAGCAGTTGACTCTACTTCTAAAATTTGGTAATAATTTTTTTTTGGCATAACAAAGAGAAAAAATATTATTAATCACGAGGTGGATTTTCCATCCGGGCAAAAAATTGTTGCTTCCAAACTTGCTCTAATTTCACTTGTAATTTCGCTACTTCCTTGCAAACTCTAAAAACTTTCTGTATTTCTTCCGAAGAAATTTTGCTCCCCGAGAGATTTTTTTTCAGTTCTTTTTCAATAATTTTGATATTATTTCGTGCTTCTTCGATACTATTATATCCTACTTCATTACGTTTTTGGTTTTCCATTAGCCTCTCAAATTCTTCATAAGCGTTACGTAAGTTTTCAATTTTGTCCTCATCTAAACCTAGACGATTAACTAACTCTTCTAATTTTTCCGACTCATATGCCAAATTTCTTTCTCTCGCTTCTTTCAATTGCTGTTTTAAAAAACTGTTTTCATCTATTGTTTTTTGGTCTTCTACTCGCAAACTACTATATTGAGAAGTAGTCAATGCTAATTTTGTGTTTTTCTCCTCTAATTGGCCTTTGACTAATCTAGCCTTTACTTTTTTTTCTTCTAGTTTCTTTTGTAAACAATCTTTCTCAAAAAGAAGAGTGTTTGTTTGTTGAGTAATTTTATCTATTTTTTTTCCTCTTTTCTCTGAACAATTACAAGAACTCATCTCTTTTTCAGCTTCTTCTAAATCGGCTCTTGCTTGATTCATTCAACTCTTATAATCGTTAATTGCATCTCGTAAATGAGACTTAGCAGCCACCATCCAAAAAACAGTTTTTGTTTTCTTCTTTTCATTATTCGAACTTCCAGTGATACGCTCACACGCACTTCGGATTAATTCATCAGCTTTTTGAGTATGTTGACAACAAAAAACAGTTTTTTTCTCTATCGATCCAGTTTGAGAAGCAGAAAAATCTATCCTCAATGCTTCATCATTACCATGATTTAGCACTCACTCAGTATCTTTCTGCCTAACATCCCTCAACCAACAAACATAATCGACATCATTCACCCCTATTCTGATGTCTATTCACTCCTTCGTTTGTTCTACCGTGAAACCTTTTTCCTCTCATTTTTGCTGTAATTCAGGAGTAAAATCTGGGTGGATGTCTTTTCAATTTTTCATGTTTATATGTAATTTTATTATATGTTATATTATAATACGGTTTGGATATAATTTTTTTAAAAAAGAAAGAAAGAAAAATCACTAAAAAACCAAAAAGGTGTCTGGTTTTGTTTTAAAACTTGCTTAAAAATATGAAAATTTTAGCGATTGGTGATATATTTGGAGAAACGGGTCGCCAAATTATCAAAAATTATTTACCACACTTAAAAGAAAAGCACCAAATTGGCCTAACTGTTGCCAATGTGGAAAATAGCACCCACGGCAAAGGAATATCCTACAAACATTATCAGGAACTAAAAAGTTATGGCATTGATATTATGACCTCAGGCAACCACATTTTTCATCGAGAGGAAACCCAACAATTTATCCAAGAAGTGTCAGACTTGTTAAGGCCTCTGAACTCTAATCCTTACCACCCCGGCCCCGGAACTATTCTGATAGAAGTTAAAAACAAAAAAATTCGTATCACTAACCTTTTAGGAACTGCCTTTATGCCCATAGCGGCTGAAAATCCTTACTTTACTTTGGAAAAACTATTAGAAAAAGAAGATTGCGACATTCACTTAATTGATTTTCATGCTGAAACCACTGCTGAAAAAAACGCCTTGGCTTTACACTTTGATGGAAAAATAAGTGCGATATGAGGCACTCATACTCATGTGCAGACCGCTGATGAGAGAATACTTAGCGGCGGAACTGCTTTTATCACTGATTTAGGCATGACCGGTCCTTACGGAGGAGTTATTGGAGCCAAACCAACAGCAATCATTCAACGAGCCAAACAAGGGTTACCAGCAAAGATGGTCCCTTATGAAGATAAAGGCCAGTTTAACGGCATCCTTTTGGAAATTGATAATACTAGCAATAAAGTAATAAAAATCGAACGACTTAGAAAAATTTTTTAGAACATTCTAACTTAGACACAAAAAACTAAGAAGACTTCGGTAAGAAAAAAAGAAGAAATACAAAGCAAATTATCAATAAAGCATAAACGTTACGAGCAAAGTTGGTTAACTTGGTAAAAGGAGTTTTTTTATAAATATTTTCCTTACTCTCATAAGAAGGAGAGAAATCATTTTCTCCATCATCCAAAAGAAAAGAAAAAATTATTATAATTATTCCCAGAACAATCAAGAAAAATTTTAAAGGACCGACAGGCATAAACTAATTTGATTCGTTATTTATTTTTTTAACTTTTGACAAATACTAAATTTAGAGAAGGTAATTAGTGAATTAGTTAAAATCTTATGAGGGTGAAAATTCACCAGCCCTAACTTCTAACAAGGAAGAAAAAGTAAATTAATTTTAGGAAAATTTAAAAATTGGAATTAACTTTTCTGCTGATTAATTTTTTCTTTCTTTGCTCACCCCCCTACCATTACTAACTCAAATCAAGCCTATTATTACCAATAGCAAGCAAGAAAAAATAGAAAAGTATTGAAAATTTCTTTTGGTCGTTTGTAACTCTTGAAGTTGGATTTCTAGTTCTTTTGCTCTTGCTATTCTTCATTTAACGAACAAAGGAGCAAAATTATTATTATTTGGTTCACCGTGTCCTTTTAGTTCGGTTTCGAGTATTCTTATTTTAGGTTCGAAATTATCCACTTTGCCAAAACTTTTAATAAAAAGTGATTCAAGACTGAACGGGAGATGTTGCAGACCACTGTCGATATTGGTATTGCTAATTTCCAATTCTTTTAATTCGGTTAGGTCTTTTAATGGCTCCAAAGAACCAGTGAAACGATTATAAGTATCAAAATTTCCTAAGTGACTTATTTCTCAACTTCCCAAAAATAGTAATTGTAAGTTCACCAAATGATTGAGGAAAGATAAATCTTGAACCGAAAAATTATTGTTACTAATACTTAACTCTTCTGGTTTTTTATTTTGGCTTAAATCCAAACTAGTTAAGAGATTACTAGAACAATTGAGTTTTTCCAAATTGGGAGAGGAACTAATATCTAACTCAGTAATTTTATTCTCAGAACAATCCAAAAATTTCAGGTTAGGACTACCAACTATTTTTAGCGAAGTAAGTTCGTTTTCTTTACAATCCAAAGTTTCTAACTTAGTAAATCCTTCTAGTTTTAAACCTCCTTTTATATTTTCACCATTAATAAGTAATTTGGTGATTTCTGATCTTGTTTTGTTAACTGAAAAATCAAAAAAAACACGAGTTGGTGATCCTATACTAAATCCTTCTTTTGGGTAGTATTTATCTAAAAATTCTTGGGCGTTTTCTACTGTCATAAATAATGAATACTTTTTGACCTAATGTTAAAATCAATCTAATCCTAACAAAAGTAATTTGATAAATTTTTTCTCGTCTTTAAATACTTTTTAACTCTAATTCTATCTGACTAATAACAATTTCTTGAATGTTTTCCCGAGTAGTAATCATGTTTTTTAGAGAAGTATTTATCCGAGTTAAATCTTTTTCTCATTCACTAAAATTCTTTTCTAAATTTAATAAGTAATTAGGTAATTTATTTCTAATTCATTCTTCTCATTTTTTAATTCTGTCTTGGGGATTTCCTTTTTGGTTAAGGCGTTGCTTGGACAATAGGAGCAGGCGAGCCATTTGACTAGCAAAAATAAAGTTTTCGTCATCACTCACCAAAATATTTTTGTGGGGAAAAGGTTTTCATAAAGGATTGCCTCGCCGACAAGTGGCCACAATAATTCCGATATCAGCCTTGTCATGAGCCATATCTTTTTCTAATTTTTCTAATCACTTATTATCTCATTTATCAACATTTTTTACTTCGTAAATAATCTTGCCAACCACCTCTTTCCCTTGCCAAATTTCTTGGGCAAAATCAGCCTTATCTCCTAAATGAGTAATTTTAGCAATTTTGTCAGTTCCGTTGTAAGTCTCTTGTAATTTCTCCAAAATGTGTTTTTCCAGGTCTTCCCCTTTTTCCTTACTGGACTTAGAAGAGCCTAGTTTATAACCCTCCACGACCAATTTTAACTTTTCATTCTCGGCTTTTAGTTGCTGAAATAAGGGAAAATTTTCGATTTCTTGCCCCATTTTTAGGAGTAGTTGTGATTTATATTCAGTTTCTTTGGTTTGAAAATATTCCTGTAAATAGGCCACAGTAAAATGGTCTTGGGTGAAATCAGCAGCCTGAATTGGAGCGTGGCAGTGCGGACATTTAAAAGAGAAATTATATTTTTCGTTCATAACAATTTAGTTTTTAAAAAAATCGTTTAACAAATTTTTATTAATCGTTAAAATTTAAATTTTCCCAACTATTCTCTTTTTCATAAGCATACTCAACACTTCTGTTTATTTTTCAACTTGGATATTTTTCAATCACTATTCCTCCAACCATCTCAAAACTATAACTGGGTTGTTTTTCTCTAATTCAATTTTGAAGTGCATTACTTTTATCCGCTGTTTCTTGACTTTTTGCCGTAATGCCACTTTTTGTATCTAAAAGATAGAGTTTGCTTTTCGTTCTGACAATAAAATCAGGATAGAAGAGTCTGTTTTTATTTTCTTGGGTATCAGAATACTCAATCGCAAATGCACTTCTTCCATAACTTTGCTTATGTCATCAAACGACATTGGACTGTGATTCCAAAAATCTTATGAACTTCTTCTCATTTTCCATTCCCAAATATTGCTTTTTATTATAAAATTTTCCGTAGACATTTTTGTTTATACCCTCAATTTCTTCATAATCCGCAGTAAAACTAATTTGCCTCTCGGGCAATCACAAGTTAAAAACTTCTTTCCCTTCTCTTGTTTTTAATTCAGTTTCATATTTTTTTCTAAATTCTTTTAAAGCCTTATTAATAGCAGATTTTAGATAGTTATTCTCTCTCAATAACTCATTGACAACAATTGGATAATAAGTCGCTTTATTAAATCCTAATCTAGTTTCAAACCAAACATTTAAAGCTGATTTTAACTGGCTCCATGAACTTGCTGGATTGTATTTTGCTTCTTCCTCATCTTGTTTTTTAAGTTCTTGAAAGCAAATTAAATTATAAATTTTTCCCACTTCTAACTGAGAAAAATGGTAATCAAAATTCTGACCTTTTCTTTTTATCTCGTTAGCAAAATTATCAAAACTAATGATTTCAGCATCTACAATAATTTGATTACTTACTTTCGTTAAAGAAAAATCAAGTCTTGCTCCTACACTTTTTTTATTTTCGGTAAACAGTTGAGGTCTAGTTCCAAATTCCCGATCCACTACTTCTAAAAAAACTTCTTGTCATAATGGAAGAGTAAGAACATCAAAATCAACTCGATGATGATAAGTTGTTTCCAAACAAATCCTTTCCGCATCTTTTTTTAGTTCGGTAAAATGAATAGGTATTTTATTTCTGTCTTCTAGTTGGCTAATATCTCTAATATGATTCTTGTCGTAATTAGTAAAAATATAGGCCTTGTTTAATTCTTCCCTTTCGTAATGGTGACCATCGGGCATCCTTTTTATCCGACCGATTATTTGAGTGCGAAAAATTGGGCTATCAATTTCCCGAAACATTACTAATATTTCTGCTCGCGGACAATCTCAACCAGTAGCCGGAGCAACTTTGAAAATCATAAAATTCACTTCATCATTATTTTCTTCAATTGAATCCAAATTTGTCTTTTCATTCGATAACCAAATAGCAATTTCTTTTGCTTTGACATCTTTGGCTTTCAAATATGACAAAACAGAATTCTTTCGATTAGTATCCACCTCCTCTTTTTCCTTAAAATCACTCGGAAGCTGAATTAAAACCAAGGGATTTATATCAAACCCTAAACTTTCGTAAATTTTTTTAAGTTCTATTCTCTTGTTATAAGCCAGTTCCAACATTATTTCATCTTCTGAAAATTGCCTTTTTTTGGATAATTTTTCAATCTCTTCCTTAGTTTGAATAACAATTTTTTCTTTGATTAGTCCGCTTTTTTTTTACCTCTTCTTCTGGAAACTCCACAAATCCAGCCCTTTTTTGTCTGACCTCACTAATACTTGGCTCAAACTTAGGAGTTGCGGTTACTCTAATGATAATTCGCGGGTCAAAAAGGTTAATGACCTCATTGGCTAGTTGAGTATCAGTTTCAATATGAGCCTCATCAACAATTAATACTAAATCTCTTTCTTTTCTGGTTTGTCTAATAAAATCATCAAAAATCGCTTCCCCGCCATATCCAACCCCACCACTTTTTCTTAATCTTTTTGATTCTTTGTTGGTTCATTTTATCTTTGATCAGTTAATGAAGAAGACATTATTTTTGTGGAGTTTTCCCTCATTCAGGTTACTTATATCCTTAAGATGCATATCAGTGCCTTCATTAAAATACTGATAAAGTTTCTTTTTAGATTGCATATAGGAATCATCACCACCGAAGGATATTCATATATAAGCCTTATCTTCATGAAATTGGTAGTTGTCATCAAGACACCTTAAAAATTCAGCCATCATTATGGTTTTTCCGGCTCCAGTGGGGGCTTTAAAAGTAAGTGGTATTTGATAATTGCCGGTTTTTCACAAGTCTAAAAAGGTTAGACTTAATTCTTCTACTGCTTTTTTTTGAAAATCTTTCAGATCTATTCTTACCATATTATTTTTTCTTTCAGAGTTAAGTTAATTTCCTTATATATTTCAATAATTGGTTCAGGAATGTCTTCAATAGTAATATTTTTGTCTAAACAAAAGGATTTTTTATCTATTCTCCCATAAGAAAAAATATATAAGGTTATTTTAACTTTTCTTAATTTCTCAGTCAATTCCGCAAGTTTTTTCAAATTTTCTCGAAAATAAATTGCTGTTCCTCTCTTTTTGTCTTTACTCTCGAATATTTGATAATATTCACCACATTCTATTTCTTCAAAAGTATTTTCTTTAAGTGCAATCATTCATCCGGCTTTTTCGGTTAGTTCATGTCTCTTTTCATCACTTATATTAAGTAAGTTTTTAACAGAAATTAAGTCGGTTTTAAAATATTGAAGATTACCACCAAGTCCATTTATATTTTCATCTACTTTATTTTTTTTGACATAACCCTTGATAATTTTTTCCAAACGTGGATAGCAAACCTCCTCGGCAATTTGTCCTTCATTATTAGTGCAAAGAATAAAAGTTCGATTGCCAATTTCATCTCTATTTAATTCTAAAACTGCCTGTCCAGTAGTCCCCGAACCCGCGAAAAAATCTAAAATAATTGAGTTTTCCTTGGCAAAAATTCCAATCAAGTGCTTTATTAAAGATGAGGGTTTTGGATTATCGAATTTCTTCTCACCCAAAATACTTAACAACTCATTTTTACCAACCCCCCCAGCCATTTTTATGTAATTTGTAAATTTTTTTTTGTGAATTCCTTCCTCTCCATATCTTTTTTTTTGATAAATATAAGTCCCTTCCTCTTCTTTAACAAATAAAAGTTCAGTTTTATATTCTTCGAGAAACTTTTTCTC